AAAAAATTATCTTAAGGAGATAGCTCACACAGTTGTAGAAGGTGGTAAGTCCCAAATCCATGGGTCAGATGTCAAGCTGGAGGCTTCTCCTAACTCACCTAGCAGGTCTGATGGACCTCTACTGATAGGCAGGCAATACAGCAGGCTGCTGGCTTTGTAGGCTGAGGAATCCAATATTGGCAGGTAAAATGGCCGACTTTTGGCTCATAAGCTGTGAAAGCAACAATCCCAAGATTGGCAGGCAATACGGCAGGCCACTAGTTCAAGTGCAGATGATGATGAGCCAGACGCAGGAACTCAAGCAAAAAGCCAGAGATTTTTTTGCCAGGATATCCGTATGTACTGGAAGCAGGCCACACCCTTGAGGAAACACCTTTTCACCTAATTGGCTGTTCACAGCATATCTCATCATGGAGGTGATTACATTATATCAGATCTCATCATGGGGACTGACTATATCATAACTGCTAAACCACTGGGAATCATGGCCCAACCAAGGTGACACACAGCCTTCACTATCACAGTCCAATAAGGTCTCTACTGGTTGGAATTCACTCAGTGGCAATGGGTAGTAAAGCTCAGTTCAGAATATTTCTTAGGAAGTCAGGATTCTTGATTTCTTCTGTTACCTTATCTTAGCAATTCCCTTCTTTTACCCTCCATGCTTTCACGTCCAAAAAAAGAGGTACAGAATAAACATATTACAAGCTTAATTCCAAGTATCATATTGTTTATAATCAGATTCTTCCAAATCTCCAGAAGGATTTCTTTGCTCAAATCAACTGTGCTTCTCCTAGAGTGTAGGTTACTAGGCAGAATTTCAGAAGTTCTCATCTTTGATGTCATGTGACATTAGGAGGAAAAAAGTTACAAGTTGTGTTCTACTGCCCACAGGGGGTTCCATCCTCTTTGGATTCCATGTAGATCCAGAATCCTTTCTTTTTGGGGAAACAGAAAATCAGCTTTGCCCTCTGCCTCATCATAATCCCATCTGGATGCTACTCACCCATTCATTGAATAAATATTTGAATGTCTCTACATGCAAGACTCTTCTTTGCAAGACTGAGCTCATAACTACCTTATTTCTTCCTCCAGTTGCACAAGTTCCCAAAAGTTCACATCATTACCAAGGTAACATCTGTTCATCTTACATTTTCTGAAATGTGAATTACTAGTGTTGTAGGATTAAGAAATATCTTTTTAGTGTTATTTCCCCAACTGACAGTTCCCAGTTATCTATAGAGCTAATAATGTAGGAGGATAATATGAATTTTCCAAAATACCAGCCAATAATAATAATAATAATAAGCCCACTTATAATTAATCTCAAAATGAATTAAATTATATTGACTCCCTTATGTTTTTATCTAGGGAGCTCTGGTGGGGTAGCGGATAAAGCATTTGGCTGTTAACCAGAAGGTCAGCTGTTCAAACCCACCAGCTGTTCTGCAGAATGAAAAGTTCACCTCCTTCATGTGATGGTCCCTAGCTCTTACCTGGACCTTTTGTAGCAATTCTACTCCAGCCTGTAAACTCTTGTATATGTGAGCCATAGTTCCTAACTCATTGCAAAATACTGTAGGTAAGTGCTCAATCAACGCTAATTGTAAGAATAAAATAATAAGTGATGTGTTGGAAAGTATTTGCCATTCAGCAATACTCGATTACGATACTAGATTTTCTAGGATTATCCCAACATCATGAATTCTTTAACAACTCAATGTGAGGACGTACATCATAGTAATTAAGTGTCTTGTTTCTGGCATTAGACTTCCTGGATTTGAATCCCAGTTCTGCTTGTTATTAGCCGTGTGACCTTAAATCAATTATGTACTTAATCTCTTTGTGGCCCAACCACAAATGTGTAATAGGGATATTTTTGTTGCTTGCGGTAAGGATTAACTGAGTTAATATATGTAAAATGCTTAGGAAATTGCCTGGCACATGTCAAGCAATTTCTATAGAGATATATATACCATTGCCATCAAGTGGTTTCCAATTAAGCTATTAGTGTTGTTGTCAGTTGCTGTTTTGAGTCAATTCAAGCAGTTGTTTGCTTGAGTCAATTCAAAATCACAAGAGACCCCACGTGTCCAGAGTAGAACTGCTCCACAGGGTTTTCAAGGCTGTGAACTTTCAAATGCAGATCACCAGATCTTACTTTCAAGGCACCTCTGGGTGGGTTTGAAGGAGGGCTTCAAACTCGTTTGAACTAGTTCAGTCATGGTTGGGAAGAGAAACTGAAACAGATTTGTTTAAAATGTGGGTGATCTGGAACACTAACTGGAGCAGGAAAAATTACTAGTTGAAGCCCTGATATGGGAGACTCAGGAAAGGCTCAGTGAGCCCTTTCAGAGGCCTGATGCATGACATTGGGTTATTACCAGGATTTTGGAGAGAGATATGTATTGAAAGTGGTGTGGCCAGCCACCATCTTTGAGCTGGCCACCAAAGTTTTAGGCTTAGCAGGCAAGAGAAAATGGTTGCTATGCAATGTGCACATTGCCCTTGTTTCCTAAGAGGGAGATTATATTTTCTAGCAGGGTTTCTACCCATAACTTTTCCTGTTCCAGTTCACTCACATTTTAAAACTTTGAGTCTGTTCACGTGTTGCTTCCTTGGCCATGACTGAATAGAGCTGAACCAGTCCGAAGTCCTGGTTTGAACTGCCACCTTTCAGTTAGGAGTCTAGCACCGAACCATTTACCTCACCAGGGACTCTAAGTTATTAGTAAATTAATTAATATAAGCCTGCACATCTTTTCTGAAGGGACAAATCAGAAATGTTTTTGTTAGTCCACATGCCTTTTGCTTCAGCAAACCTATAGGACAGAATAGAACTTTCTCATATGGTTTTCTAGGCTGTTATCTTTACGGGAGCAGATCCCCAGGTCTTTTCTGCCATGGAGTAGCTAATTGGTTAGAACAACCAACTTTTCTGTTAGCAGGTGAGTGCTCTAACCGTTGTGCCACTAGCACCGCTCCTCAGTAAACATGTTGTTGTTATGTGATGTTGAGTCAATCCGACTCGTAGTGACCCCTCCTTGGGTTTCCATATCACTTGTTGTTGTTATGTGCCATCGAGTCAGCCCTGACTCATAGCGACCCCTCCTTGGGTCCATATCACTAGGGAAGTAAATTGCCCAACCTTCCCCAACCTTCCTTTCGAGGAGTGACTGGACCGCCAGCCTTCTGGTTAGCAGCCTTCTGGTTAGCAGTCAAGTGCTTTAGCCACTATGCTACCAGAGCTCCCTCAGTAAACATAGTTCTAATTAATACCCTTAATTTGACAGTAAGAAAGACTTTTCTTCGCAAGGTACAAATTAGGTCATGTTTAAGGTTATACAGTATACCGAGATCAGACACAGACCCAGAAAATTTTTTCTCGCCCTCTCTGCGATCCCAGTACCTTCAACCTACTCTAGACAGTGAAAAAAAGCATTTGTCTCAGCTTTCTAACTTCAGATGGGAAACAAGTCTTCATTCTTTAAACCAAACACACCGTCATCAAGTCGATTCGGACTCATAAGGACCCCCACTGGGTTTCCAAGGCAGTAAATCTGTACGTAATCGCCCCATCTTCCTTCTGCAGAGCAGCTGGTGGATTTGAATCGCCAATCTTCTGGCTAGTAGTCAAATGCCTCAGTCATCGCGCCACCAGAGCTCTTTTGCCGAATGGAAGGTACAGCAAAATCCCAAGCATATAGGAATGCAGGCGCCACTTGCCGCCAGAGCCCCACGCGCAGGCGCACCTCGAGCTCTAGCGCTTTCGGGCAAAGTTCCTAGCGCGTGACAGCCGTGCCTTCCACCCTACTCCCAACCCATCTTACCACGCACGCGCGGCCCGTCCTTCTCCTCCCTCCACGCGCACGTGCGCGCCCGCGTTGCGCACACTTTGGAGGAGGGAGCGCGACCTGGAAAATTCCATTCCCGAGCTAGCTCCACCCTAAGAGCCTCCTCTCCTGGGCGACGCTCCTCACGCTCAACCCCATCCCGGCGGCCTCAGCGTGAGCAAAATGGCAGCCCCCGTGCTGCGGGGGTTGTCTTGCTTATCCAGGGTTTTGGGCTGTTGGTCACGGCAGGTGGGTAGGATTTGGACGGACAGAACCCAGAGGGCTGGAGAAGGACGGAGTAGAGAGGAACAATCGCTTTGCAATTGTCCCTGGTGCGCTTGGAGGTTACCGGACAAGATCTAAGTTGAGGAAGTTTGAGATACGCGAGCCCTTTTATTTAGATCAGAGGTAGCAGAGTGGGTCTGGGCGGGGTCGTGGGGGAGAGCTAATCGCGGAATTTTCTCAGGTTATTTGGTCTCGGTCTGTCTGGCTGGGAGGTATTAAAGGCTTAGAAAGTGGGCTCGCTTGCCTTGATTCTTTGTGAATGCTGTCTAGGGTTGAACAGGAATGTGGAAGGGGAGTCCGGTATCGTCACTGACCCTGCCTGAGCAAACCTCATGCTCAGAGAAAGTCTCCAGAGACGGTCTCCCGGTCTTTAAAGAGCTTATTGGTCATTTGGGAGGTAGAAAGATAGAATAAAGTTTATGGTGAGTCTACCAATAGAATGAGCAGCATGTAGTCTGAGTAAATGTGAAGGCGATGCCAAGAGGACTTTGCTTATGCTTTAATAACAGCATTCCACTCGTTTCAGTATTTAGTTGATGTTTAAGTTTCCCACTAGGCTGAATGTTCTCTGAAAGCAGAAACCTTACTTTAATCAACTTTGCATCCATAGGGGTTACCATAGGTCTGTATTGTAGAAAAGCGTATACAAGACTTTTAATAAATGTTGAGTGATATTAGTAAAAAGGTGGCTGCCTAGTAAGAGGCACAAATAAATGTTCAGATGGTACTGGTACTGCATTTTCCCCATGATGCATGATTTAATTGTTCCTAAGTCATTCTTTGGGTGTACCATTTCTGTAGCGCTTTGCTTAGAGTTTGCTTGAGATAGTAGATTTGATTTTTCCCCCCCAGATTATCTTAACCTTTCCCTTCCTTCCAGCCAGCCTTAGTGACACAGTCCATAGTTGCAGTTCCAGTGAGAACGAAAAAACGTTTCACTCCTCCTGTTTACGAACCTAAATACAAATCGCAAAAGGAGTTTATAGAACATGCTCGGAAAGCAGGAGTGGTCATTCCTCCCGAACGTTTGGAGCGTCCCATACATCTGGCCTGTACAGGTGAAGCGTGGTATTTTGGGGGCCCTGATTCAGTCCCATTCTGGCAGAGATCTTCTGGAAAGTGGAATGATTTGGACTGTGATTAACAGTATTTAGTTAACTATGAAATCAGTCCAACCTCAGTTAATATTGTCTTATTTGGACCATATTTTATGAGGTCATCTGTGATCTTGTTTTCACACTATTCCTAGAAAGCAAGGGTGAAATTTCCCCATTTTGTGGAAGTAGAAACTGAGACTCTTGAGAGAACACCTAAATTATTTTATTATTATCTTTTAAACTAACATGTTTCCCTCTTCATGTAAGTCTGTTTCCTCAGTCTCCTTTATATCTAGGATCCTTCCCAATTTTCTGTGACTTCAAGATGAGTTTGTCTCAGTCTCTTCTCATTTTCTGTTTTCTCTTCTGATTACAGCTGGTATTTTTGATGCCTATATTCCTCCTGAGGGTGATGCTCGCATGTCCTCACTTTCAAAGGAAGGACTGAAACAGAGAACTGAACGATTGAAGAAGAATGTGGCCTCCCAGTTGTCGTAGGTATCCAAGACAGTTGGAGTTGCTATTAGAATATTGTTCTTTTATCCCAGAGCAGTCTTCCTGAGTTGATTGGGTTGATATAACGCCCTTGATAATTTGATAGTATTTTCTTTTTGTGTAATAGAGTCTGTATTTAAGGCAGAAGCGTGTGGGCATTCCGATTCTTTCATCACAGTCTGTTGGTACTTTTTGTCACATCAGCTAGGGAGTTGACTTTGGAATTCATAGGACACTTTTTTTTGTCATGTATTTAAAAATTTATGGTAATGAAAAAGAAAATGTTTACCTGAGAAATACTTAAAGAGTAAACTTCAGAGAGTAGGAAAATCCACTAACGGGCAAGAAGACAAATCTTTTTTAGGGTAGTAACTGGACCTTAGTTAAGGGGTATGAGCCGGAACCTTTTTAGTCTCTTTTGGTGGCTTAGCGCCTAAGGCATTTGACTGCTAACCAGAAGGCTGGCGGTTCAAATCCATCAGCCACTCCTCAGAAGGAAGGTTGGGCAATCTACTTCTGTAGTGATACTGCCTCAGAAACCCAAGGAGGGGTTGCTATGAGTTGGGTCCGACTCAACGTCAGTGCATCGCGTTGGCATTTATTGCTCTACCTCTGACTATTCTGAAACGAGTTCTTCAGGATTATGTATAGGCTTATGTGAATAAGTAATACTACTGAATCAATGTTAATTCTTCGTGTGGCCACAATTTATCATTTATTTCTCTAAATAGCAGATCATATTTTCTTCTCTGCTTAAAACTCTTTGTGGCTTCTTATGACCTGGAGAATAAAATCCGTATTTCTTCAGTGACATTCAAGGTTTCTCATAATCTGGTGCTTGCCTTGCCTCCACCATCTGCCCCTTTATTTCCTTTTTCTCACCAGAAACTTAACATTTCTGAGCAGATTGCAATTCCTTTGACTATACTATGCCATGCTTCTGTGCCTTTGCATGTCCTTTCCTTTGCCTGAAAAATGTCTTTTTCCCCTTTTTTACCAGAGAATTCATTTTACTCCTCAAGACTTAATTCAGTCATCATGTCCACTTTTAAGCCTTCTCTTACTCCTTCTGGAGCTGTCTTTACTATAATTGTATCCTTATGCTTACTATTTCTAATAACTCTGTGCTGCGGTGATTTTCTTTCACTTGTTTCTCTCCTGAGCTTTGGGCTCTTTGATGATAGTGTTCACAGTAGTTTCTCTCATGGAGTTATCATGTAGAGGAGGAAAACGGTCATTGAGACTGACAGCACACAATTCAATAATTACAGGATTTGTGAAGTATGAGCACTGTGGGAGCATGTGACAGGGAAGGCTTCCCTGAGGGAATAATATTGAAAGCTGGGACCTAAAGGATTGTTCTAGAGAGAGAGAACAGCGTAAGCAGAGGTTCTGAGATGGAAAGAGCTTGGCAAATTGAAGGACTGGAAAAAAGCCAGTATGGCTAAAGTGAATAGGAGAGGGGAATGAAAATGAGACCACAGAGAAGGGCCAGTAGGCAGAGCCATGCTAAGGAATTTAAACTTTATCCAGAAGGCAGTGGAAAGCCATAGTTTAAATGAAGGAATTGACTTGATGAGAATTGATTTTTCAAAAATTTACTCTGGCTACAGTGTGGAAAATAGATCGGGGTACATAGGAGGCGAGGATGGCTCATCAGCAAAATCTTTTGCTCCTTATTTGACTTACAGTTTTCCCAGGTAGAAATCTTCAGTAGAAATATCTTTTTTCCCTCAACTAAAATCCCCTGTACCTTATTCCATAGTCTTTCTAGCTGTAATGCTGCTATTTAGAAACCCACTGTCATTCTGACCATTGTTCCTTTGTATGAAACCAATTTTTTCTTTCTTAATGTTTATATGATACTTTCTTTTATTTATTTATTTATGTCGGGATTTGGGCGAAAGTTCACAGGGCAAATTTGTTTTCTTTGGTTTTAGAATTCTGAAATTTCATTATGGAGGGCTTTGTTCTTTAAAATTGTTGATTCAAGATAGACGATTGAATTTATAAGACTTGATGCATTTAAAAAGTGATTATTGAATAATTGGACAGAAGTTAGTAAACGATACTGTAAGCTGAGAAATCTTTAAAAATATTCTCCACGATCATTAGCTATTAGAGAGATGCAAATCAAAACAACAATGAGATACCATCTTGCTCCAGCACTAGTAGCAAAGTTCAACAAGACAGAAAATAACAAATGCTGGCGAGGTTGTGGAGAGATTGGGACTCTCATACACTGCTGGTGGGACTGTAAAATGGTACAACCATTGTGGAAAGCAGTATGGCGATTCCTTCAAAAGTTGGAAATACAAATACCATTTGACCCAGCCATCCCATTACTAGGTATATACCCTAAAGAAGTGAGAGCCATAACAAGAACAGATATATGCACGCCGATGTTCATCGCAGCACTATTTACAATAGCCAAAACTTGGAAACAACCTAGATGTCCAACAACTAAGGAATGGATAACCAAACTTTGGTACATTCACACAATGGAATACTATGCAACGCTAAAGAATAATGTAGAATCTGCAAAACACCGCATAACGTGGATGAACTTGGAGGACATTATGCTGAGCGAAATAAGTCAGTCACAAAAAGACAAATATTGTATTAGTCCGTTATTGTAAAAGTTAAGGAAAGGTTTATCTATTGGAGGACATTTTCTTTGTTGGTTACCAGGGGTGGGAGGGGAGGGGAGGGAATGCTGTTAGATAGATAGAGATAAATATTGATTTGGGTGAAGAGAAGGGCAATGTACCAAATGTGAGTGACCAATATGGCAGCATTGAGGATGAGAAAGACATAGAGAGTTACATGGGCAGTACAGACAACAAATATGAACCCCTTTGCATATACAGTACTGAGTTGTCAGTGAAAGCAAACATGGGTATAGGGACGGATAGATGGGTGAACAAGCTAAACAATTAGGTATGTCTAAATGGAGAGTGTATCCAAGATCATATATAGGGTTGGCAGACAATGGGCCTATAAGTTCATATGAATGATCAGAATTCCCAGGTGTATAGTAGAGCTGACAAGGGGTAAGGTTATGGTCATTACTTGGTCACAGCCAGCTACCCAGAGGGACCGAGTAGTTGATCCTGCGGGCTTGGGACCATAGTCGCAGGGGACATCAAGTTCAATTGGCATAACATACTGTACAAAACATTGTTCCACCTACTACTTTGGCGAGTAGCGACTGGGGCCTTAAAAGCTAGCAAGCTGCCATCTAGATGCAACAGTGGGTCTCTCCTCATCAAGAAGAAAGAAGAAAACCAAAATTAATGGAAACAATCAGTCCTAGTGACTGGTACACCATCCGATCTGCAGCCTATACAACTATGAGACCAGAAGAACTAGATGGTGCCCAGCTACCACTGCCATCCACTTGGAAGGGATGTAGGAGATCCTGCATAAAGAGGGAGAACAATGTGGTACAAAACTCAAAATCATTTGGAGGCAAAAAAAAAGAAGGTGGGGACCAGGTTTGCTGGTCCAATAGAGCCTGGTGTAACCACTGAGACTATGGCCCCTAGCTGCCCTTCAGGTCTGGAATTGAACCCACAACTGTGGTTTCCAGCCAAACAAAGTACAGGCATGTGAGTTAAACATTTACCTCAAGTAGACACACGCCCTGGAGAGAACAATCATGGGAGAAGGAAGGGCTGCTTATGCACAGGGAGATAGCTCAGGGTGCAGAAGGGTATGAAGGGATGGACACTGGGAGGAGGTAACTATGGGGAGGAAGTGGGAGGGGAGCTGCTGCATTGTAAATTTTGGTCAATGACATGAGACAAAGTATATGTGAACTGCTGTATGAAAAGTGAATTTACTCTGTAAATCTTCACCCAAATCCTAATAAAAAAAAAAAAATAGAAAAAAAAAAAATTCTCATGCTTACGTTTACAGAATCCGGAAAATAAGAGAATATGATGCAAATTTTAAAACAAAGGACTTCCCTGAAAAAGCTAAGGATATCTTCGTTGAAGCTCACCTTTGTCTAAACAAGTAAGTGGATTCCCTATCTTTTACCCATTCTATTTGCACCTATTATCTTAGGTTTTGAACAGATTATTTTTTTTCCAAATAAGAGTTCTAGGGAATTGTAGTCAATGTCGTGAAACTAAATGTGTATGGAAAATGAATTTGCTCTGTAAACTTTTTACCCAAACCACAATAACAATTAAAAAAAAAAAGGGGGGGTTCTGGAGTGAGAGAACTTTCTATGTGGGAAATAATTAGTGACTGACGCTGTCCTAAGCTGCTACTTTCAGCTTCTAGAACCTTTCACCATTTAATTTGTTCCAGTTCCAGCAGTAGCTGTTGGGACTCTGGACTGGAATGCCTGCTGTTCTCACCACACCCGATTCCTTAATTCATCCTGATCCTTTTTGTGTGTTTAATTTCCCTTTTCTTAGTTATTTTGAGTAAGCTTCTTTTAAAAATTTCCAAGAGTTTCTTGGTTCAGCTAAGGAAAGGAAAGTAAGATCTGCTGGGGAGGTGAAATTTGCCAGGAATGATCTTTAGTCCTTAGACCATTCTTGACATTCTTGGAACTGTGGCCAGACTTCAGATAGGACCCAAAACTTACACTCTAAATGCATTAATGATTTTGTTTTCTTTCTTTAAAAAAAATTATAAATTATGAAACATTTCACACATGGTAGAAAAGTACCAACCCATATTAATATATCCTTACATTTTGCCAGATTTGCTTTAAAATCTTTTGTTTGGTTGGAAGGGGAGAAATAAAACATTATGGATACATCTAAAGCCCCATCTCTCCATTCTGTTCCCTTCCCAGAGATAACCACTATCCTTCCCAGAGATAATCATTATCCTAAGTATTATTGTCATGTATATTTTTATACTTTCATTATATGTGTATACCTAAACAACATATGGTATTATTTTATATGTTTTAAATTTTTACACGAATAATATCGTTGTATATATCCTTATGAAGCCTGCTATTTAGTTTAGGAATTCCTGACTCATATAGGTAACAACTTTTATTGCCAAACCTGGATATTATATTGTAGGCTTGGGGACTTAATTTTTCACAGGTTTTTGCTTGTTTTTCCACTCACAATTCTGGACATATACAAACTTTGTTTCCCATCCAAGTACTAACCAGGCCTGACCCTGCTTAGCTTCCGAGATCGGGCGTGTTCAGGGTGGTATGGCCATAGACCAAACTTTGTCTCTAGGTTGACTGTTTTTCTAGTCTCCTTTCCCTCTAGCTGCAACCTGTTTTGGGTCATAGCTTTATGCAGGGATCTCAATTCCAAGTCCCTGCCCTGTAAAGATTCAAGTTTTCAGGAAAAGTCAAGCTGTAGCGCCATTAGATCCTATTTCTGGATCCATTCATCATCCCTCAGGCCATCATGGTATCATCAGCTTGCACGTTTTCCGTTTGGGCTTTCAGTTCCCTCTTTTTTTGTGGCATCTGGGGATTTACCTTTCTTTCTTGTGAACTAGCCTGGAGTATTTAAGAGTGTGTGTGTTTGTGTGTTGTTATATTTGATCCAACATTTCCAGATGTTTATAGCAGGAATAGTTCCACATTAGTCCAGTCCATTATGTTGCCAGAGCAGATGTCTTCCTTTTATTTCTCAGGGTAAGTTGCACTGCAGAATGGTAAGTGAACTCATAGAAAAGGAAATTTATTTCTACCGAAGATTTCTAAGCCAGGATAGTGAGGAGGAAGAGTTCATTCACTGGTACCAGTCATGGTAGCCATTCCAGTTTAGAGCTATGGTGTGGGGAATGACTTAGACTCTCTCCTATTAGGGATAGAGGTAAAACTGAAGCAGATAGAACAAATGTCTTACCCACTCTGGAATTAGAGATGAGGTTTTTCAAAGGGGGCAAAGAGTTACACTCTTCAAAAAAGATTAAATTATAGGGAAAAGCCATGTGTGTATCTGAAAGAAGCTGGTCTGTGGTCTTAGGTTTATTTAAGATTCCTGAGTTAGGGAACTCTCTGAAATCTCATCTGCGGGGGTTGGGGTTTGCTGTTTGTTTTCTACCTATTGACTGCATAAAGTCAGTATGACCAGGTCACTCTGGCAGCAGCAAAGATAGGGAAAAAGAAAGAAAGAACCAGAAAAGACAAATGATTATTTTCTGGCTAGAGATGTTAATGTAAGGTTATCTTACTAAGATCACGTAAATCAGCACCAAGCTAGTTGGTACTGATGATGTGTCAGAGTACAGGAAGATCAGATGAGCCCTTGATTATTATTTGTGTTGGACTTTGTTGCCCAAAGATTAGAGCAAAAATCAATCCTCATGTCCCAGTGAGGGTCTCGTGCCCATCTTAATGATCTAGGATAATGACAGAATTTCTTTCTGTTCTTGAGACTCAAGCATAACTTTATTCTGCTATTAGATCTCAAGGTTTTCTGATAAGTCATGTTATTATTCATCTCTTTGTCCCCAGACCTTAGCACATTACTTGGCTTATAGTTGGTGTGCAGAAAATGTTTGTGAAATTGAGTTGAATTGTTTTCTGTTGTTTAAAAAAAAAAATTTAAATTACCAAATATTTTCAACTTCTACACATGGTATTATAAAATGGTATTATAAAAGTAGGAGTCAAAGATGTATTTCTTTTTTTCTAGTTCAGACCACGATCGGCTTCATACCTTGGTTACAGAACACTGTTTTCCGGTAGGTTCTCATCCTCCTTAGAACTGTGGGGATGTCTGAATGAGCAGATTCTAGACATTGCATTTGGTTTTCTTAAAAGAATCAGTTTTGAAAGTACATGAAGTATAAGGTGCAAGTTTAAATTCCATTATTGAATGATAGTGACTTGACACAAACTCTAGTAAGGGCCATGGCAAATGAGGAAAGAGGAAGTCCATTAGCAAACAGTGCTGAAACCACGGTGCAGATCCTGAGGTCAGGGTATGGGTTATGTTAGGCCAGACCTGTACATGCCTACAATGTAATAAAGTATTTAACAAGAATTCAGGAGGTTTATTTTGTGTGCTCAATGTGATACTAGGTACTTTAGAGGAGACAGCTAAGAATGAGGACACTTTGGTTTAGTTATAGGTTTCAGAAAGAAAACTTCAGTTTTTGTCAATTCAGCCTAACCACCCCAGTCTTAGCACCCCTATTCTTAGCAGTTTAACCTTTATTTCCCTGCAAAATTCCCACCCTTTACTACTAAAAGGTGAGAGGAAAAAAAAATATACGTGTGTGTGTGTGTGTGTGTGTGTGGTCATCAGAGATACATGCAAGAGTTGTCATGAGGTATATTCCAGATGAACTAATGCCGTAGTCAGGAGCTTAAAGGTGAGAGAGAAAACAGGCAGCAGAAGGCATTGGGGGGAGGTGTGGCATGTGGGCTGTAGTATAGCAGGAAACGAGAACAGATAGAACAAGACCAGCTTCCCTCAAAGGAGGGAAAACCCCAGTTGCACTTGTTCTCCTCTGCCCTTAGGACATGGTCTGGGACATCCAATATAAGACTGTCCGTTGGAGCTTTGTGGAATCTTTGGAACCACCCCAGGTGGTTCAGGTTCGCTGTTCAAGCCTGGTGAACCAGGGCAATATATACGGCCAAGTCACTGTGCGCATGCACACCAGGCAGGTAGGGGCACCAGTCTGCTTTCTTCCCAGCTATACTTCACTCTCGGGTGGGCACCTACCTCTGGAGTACTGCTCAGGACTGGAGGTTCTAAGGAAAGGCTCACCACGGCTTTCCCTGTTCTGTTACTGCTCCCTTCCTACCACTAGATGTTAACTTCACTGCAGCACATAGTGAAGCTATTCTGTTCCACCGTCCCTGGTCTCAACTCTCTCCCATTCTTCCATCCCCATCAAAAAAACTCTTAAGAGTAAAGAGTCAGTAGTTGATCAGTTAAGTCTACACTCAGAATTCTGAGCATTTTTTTTCCCACCTATTAAAAGTTTTGTTAGGTTGTTTCGTAATTGTGTAGCAAAATGTAAAACTCCAAGAACTAAGATTGGATTTACTTTCATCCTCACAGAGTCTGGCCATCTATGATAGGTTTGGTCGGTTGATGTATGGACAGGAAGATGTACCCAAAGATGTTCTAGAGTATGTTGTGTTTGAAAAACACTTGGTGAACCCCTATGGGAGCTGGAGAATGCATGGCAAGATTGTCCCCCAGTGGGCACCCCCTAAGCAGCCTATCCTGAAGGTAATGGAGCTTGCATGGTTGAGGCAAGTAGTTCTGGCATCCTAAGCCACTCCTGTTGGGCTTCTCCTAGTGGAGACAGGAGGTGATGCAGTACCAGGGAGGGGGAATGCTGGAGGAGTGGGTATCACTCCTGGATAAATCATAGGGTTGGCTGGTGGGCAACTCATCTTCCTGCTTTTTCAGACGGTGATGATCCCTGGCCCCCAGCTGAAACCAGGGGAAGACTATGAAGAACCACAAGAGGAGGCTCATAAACCTCAACTAGCCTAATGGCAAAAAAGATTTCTACATGCATGATGAGGTGGCTGTAAGCTGTGAAATCTAGAGTCTAGCAGCTGTGAAGTCTAGATTCTAGCAGCTGTGAAGTCATATGTCTCAGCCATGCAATAGAACTACTTTTCTCCTCTCCTGTTTGGGTCTTTTTAGCAATGTCATCCTCAACAACCGTGGCTGATGGCTGGACCCAGGTGGGGTATGCTGAGCCATGGACCTCCACTTCTTCCTTCTTTTTTTTTAAAATTGTGTATCTAGCTTTTGAGTCTAGATGAAAAATGGTATGTTTCAGAGAATATCTGATAACAGTTTTTCCCACATCAGTGACTGCTGGGAGCAAACTAGGAGCGTTCTCTTTCTAACCACACGCCAAGGATCGTTGTCTGAAATAAAACACTATCAAAGTGTTGAAGAACACTATCAAAGTTCTGTACATTTGACCTGATTCAAGCTGGAGGTAGATCAGCCTTCAGATAGCAGACATGGAAGGCAAGATTAGTTGTGAGTGATGTAACTTCTAAGAAATCCAGACTTGGGGAGAATTATTACTGCTTATAAAATATTGCAGAGGGTCAGCAAAAAAGAGGAAGACCCTCAATGAGATGGATTGAGACAGGCTGCAACAGTGTGCTCCAGGATAGCAATGATTGTGAGGATGGTGTAGGACCCGGTAGTGTTTCGTTCTGTTGTTGTAGGGACACTATGAGTCGGGATCGCCTCTGTAGCACCCAGCAGCAGCAGCAGCAACAAATATTATTTAAGAGAGTCTTCATCCACTAACTCCTTGAATCTGTATTTGTATCTCATAGAAGAATGTAAGTCCAAAGAAATCATTTAACCTGGAGCAAATGGATTGTGTTCTTAATTATCAGCTGCATCCTGATATGATCCTAGGAAGCCTGGGGGGAGGAATGGGCCATGAAGGGGTTGGTACATTTGGGAAATTTGTAAGCCTTTGTTCCCTGATTTTAGGCACCTCCTGGAGATGGTTATTATTATTATTTCCAGCCCAGCATTGGGAAGGCGTATATACCAGAGTATGAACCTGTGTTGAGTCAAACAGCCCAGCCACTCTTTGCTCCAGCTGGCCTGTCGGGGAGGATGTGGGACTTTGTATGCTTGTGTGGGATCATTTGAGATAGGACAAGGGAAATCACTCTGTACCAACTACAGACTAGCTGTAATGCTATTACTTTCATCAACATATTGTGAGCTTCTCCTAATTTTCCTACTTTTTTTTAAAAAAAAAAAAAGGATTTTGACATTTAGGGTAAGGGATTTTGACATTTAAGGTAAGGGATTTTGACATTTAGGGTAAGGATTACTCTGTTTTGACCTTGACCTTGTTTGGAGAGTAGAATCCAAAGAAACTAGAATCAGACTGAGACTAGGTTAACTCTTCAAAAGTCTTTTAAAGCTACCATCTCAGCTGAGGAGTAAACAGGTCAGGTCTCACTGGGGAAAATTGGTGTTTTTACTGAGTGCTGCCTGTGGAAACAAAGATGTATATGCTTAGGGAAGACAAGCCACTAGTGGGTTAACCCAGAGCAGCCACTCTCCTCATGCTGCTTAGTCAACCCCTTTGGCTTAAAATGCACATCAGTTTGTAGCATTACTGTCCAACTGAGGTCTGCTCACATCCTCTTTGAGCTCCGGATTAGAGCAAAATGAGAAAGGGATTGCTTTGAGCAGGAGTCACAACTGGGGAGTATGGAGGAGGGAAAGGTAATCCAGGGAAGGTGGGAAAGCAGAGAAACAAAAAGGCACACTTACTGGGCAAACGATACATCGATTTCTCTGAATAAGGCGAAACAGTGCTTCAAGTAAGCACTCCCCTGGATCTGTCTCATGGTCTCCAGATAATCCTAAATAGCAGCTAAGCAATAGTTGCCACCGGGGAACCAGATGATAAATGCAATGTTCATTTCCCTTGGAACCAAATCCAATTGAGCAAATGGCCCCAGATGTGAAGGATTGGCACCAGGCAGAGACCATCATCTGTAGTGTCAGCCCCAGAGCTAGCGCTGGCAGAGTTAGCTGCACCACTCTGAAAGCCTGAAGATTGCAATGTTGTCACTGTGGACTTAAGCAGGCATTGTTCTTTCCTTCCTTGTCTACTGCTCCTGTTCAAAAACTTTGAGAAAGAAAATCACCACCGTCAATAATCTAGAGCAAACTGCATTGGTCGAGAAAAAGCATTCTTTATTTTGTTCCCCCATGGATTTTTTTTTTTTTTTTCCCCACAAGATTTGAAGTGGGGTCAACTTTGCTGCTCCCAGTTAGACCAGACTCAATGGGATTGTTCTAGGAAACAAAGTTACCAAAATTCAGGTTGACTCAGAAGCTATTGGGTTAATTTGCCAAAGCTCTACAGACAGACATCATTGCTGCTCTGAAATCCCAGAGCAAGGGCAAATGGGAGGGTCTGGATATGGGAAGGAGGGCTTCAGGCCCCTGAAAGAGAGTGGGGTCATCCATACCTTCTGCTGCTCCCTTTTGGGAATGGAGACTTTGCTGTTGTTTCTATGTAGTCCTGAAACTGCATGAAGTATTTGCTTGCCGACTTAATATTTTCCCACTGGATACTTGGTCTCCTTGTTTTGACTTTTTCATCCACATGAGTGACATCAGTATCTACAGTCAGAGGGCAGGGTTTACTGCCATCTTTAGTGCCCCTGCCCAGCTTTGCATTTTTGGCCTGCCTGTTTCCATCTTCACTTCTCTCCTGCCAGTCCTGGGACTTCTTTGTACCAGTGTTTTTCTCCTTGTTTCCCTCTGGAAATACCTTTTAATCCCATCACTTTCCTCCCTAGCTTTTTAGGCAAGGGTAGCTAGCCTGAACTGACTGTTGGCAGAGGGGAGCTGAGCTTGAGCTAGAGAGAGTTTCCTAAGAAAGAAGGCTTTGTATTTATACAACATCCTTTGCCCTGCTCTCAGGCCTCTAACCTGCCCCATTGCACCACTCTGAGGGCAGAAGCAGTTACAGTGCTGGCTATGAACAGCACCTCCTTTCTTTCCCAGGCTTCTTTGGGAAGAAGACTCTGATTTGGACCCTTTGTTATGGAGCAAATGATTTAGAGTGTTCTCCCATCGGAACCAGATACTTCTTGGCTTCAGTTACATTCGCAGCGGAGATGGGTCCTTCTGATGACAGCACTGAAAGGCTGGAGGAGGAGAATGGGGCCAGGGAGATGAGCTCTGGAGACTGGCAAGAGATAGCCTAGGGAGGAAGGGGGAGAGCATCTAAAAAAAATCTAGGAGGCTTGTCTTTTGGAGAGGATGTCTTGAAGGGAGAACTCTGCCTTGACCGGGCTGGGGAGGAGCTGGGGAAATCACTTTTCCTTCTGTGTTCTTGGTCTCTTGAGTTACTCTGGATGCCAGGTGGGTGGTATGGATGTAAGAGTGCCTGAATGTCTACTTAAGCAGCCTAGCAGAGCAGGTGTGAGAATCAATAAAGCAGAAACAGGAGATCCAAAGTCAAAATGGCAGGGTCCTTAAGGCATTCAGGTGCCTGTTTTGAGTCCATTTTTTTCCCCTGATGTAGCTTGTTTAAACTTGAATTTAATGGCTTCTTAAGCTTCCTATGGTGATCTGTAGAGCTGTCCCATCCCAGGTACACCACAGCCATTGTTGCAGAGGCATAAATCCCTGAGTCAGGAGTTTTCTATGGTTCCCAGTCCCTATATTATCAATGCCTTGTGTTTCTTCTCAAGAAACAGCCATTTGTAGACTTGAGAAGAGTGAGGTCTCCTTCTGAGACATTGTGGGCTTGGCACTAACTTCCTTTGACCCCTGACATTGGCTTTATAGGGGCATGTTCAGACTCAAATGGCTTGTATTGAGTATTCTAGCTGGATGGGAGGATTCTTTAGAAGCAGGGGGCCAGCCTTTGTCCCCTGGAATAGGAAGAAGAGTTAAAGGTGAAGAGAAGGTGGGACCTCCTATTGGGGTCCAGGCTGCTCCCTCTTACACGGTTTGTTTTTGGAATGAATTGACTTTGGGCCTTCCCAAGGAGGGGATGTGACCAAGTGTTTTTTACTCGACTCTTTGAGAATGCCTAGGGCTTGGAAGGGAACTCTGGTAGCATAGTGCCTAAGGCACTTGACCACCAACCAGAAGGCTGGCGGTTCAAACCCACCAGCCACTCCTCAGAAGGAAGGTTGGGCAATCTACTTCCATAGAGATACCGCCTCAGAAACCCAAGGAGGAGGAGGGGTTGCTATGAGTTGGGTCCGGTTGGATAGCACATAACGACAACAAAGGGCTTGGAAAGGACTTTGATTTCCTGAAAACTAGCTCTATGTTTGACCTCATCCAATGCAGCTTACTCCCAGTCCCAAGGATAGACATTCGGAAGAGCAAATTCTTTATTTTGCATTTCAGAAATCACTGCTTCTTTGTCTTCAGTTGAAGAGGAAAACTTCGGAGCCTTGGCTTCTTGGAGACTTGGCTCTGGGGCTAAGCTGCTTCCTAGTCCAAGTGCTGAAGCTCTTTGGAGTTCCCTGGCACCTTCCAGAGAAAGAGTACTGTCTGGCTTGCTCACTTCAGGGCGAGGACTTTTGCTTTCCGGAAGGAGGCTTTCCAGAGGTCTCTGGACTGAAAGGCATGGAGGTTTCTCATAGGCTGTGGGGATGAACATTTCTGTCTGAGTTGCAGTTACAGCCAGGAGGCCAGATTCCTCAGATGGAGCTCCAATTCCCTCCCAGGGACATATATCTGCCATAGTGCCCTTTATTTTGTTTCCTTCTGGATCTGTGACTTCCCATCGACATAGCTCTGCTATCCTGGTTCCCAGACTGCTTGCTTTGTGAGGACTGACTTTGGCTTGGTCGGTGTCCAGAGCATCTGGCTGGAGGAAGAGCAGCCCCGAAGGTGAGCCTTCCCATGGGCAGACTGTCTCCTGCTCTCTGCTGAGTTTTGCTGCTGCTTTTGAAAAGTGTTCTTCAGTCCCTCCAGAGCCTGCCTTTGGAGGGAACATCTCTCCTTGCCCTTGTGAGTCTCTGTCCACCTTCTGTTCCAGCCCCTCTTTCTCTGCTGCTCCTGTACTCATCTCCCAGGGGCAGATCTCGGCTTTCTTGACAGACGGAGACTCTTCCACTTCCCACGGACACACATCTGCTACCCTGGCCCCCACACCACCTGCTGCCTCAGAGCTGCCTTTGCTTCTGTTAGAAGCTTTTGGGGCCGGTTGTGGAGAGGGACTTCCACAGTCCTGACTCTCCCAGGGACACACAGCCTCCTGCTTCCTGTCTGCCTTCTCCAGCTTCTGAATCGCCACATCTTTGGGCTCTGATTTTCCTGGGGCTTTCACCTTCTGCTCTTGAGATTCCCCTTTTCCATCCTGTCTCAACACCCTTTTCTGAGGAATTTGTTCACTCCTCTCCCAGGGACAGATCTCGTCCTGGGTGGGACCATCAGGTGTATAAGCATCTGAGTGGGGAACATCCCATGGGCACACCTCAGCGACCCTGCCCCCAACACTGACCTGCCCCTGGGAGCTGGTTTTCAGTTGATCTGTGCGCTGAGTGTCTGGGTGGGAGGAAAAGCCCCCTGGGGCCAAGCTCTCCCATGGACAGACAGATTGCTGTTCCTTGTTTGTGTTTTCCCCATCTTCAATAGTAAATTCTGCTTTTGAACCTGCAGCTTTTTCTTGGCTTAGCATGTGTTCTGGGTGGGAGCCCCTCTTTGCATCTTGCCTCGGGGCCCCTTTCTCTGCTACCTCATCACTGACTCCCAAGGAATGCCCCTCTGCCACTTGGCTACTCAAGCTGCTGGATAAGCCTGAGACTTCAGGGGCCTGGGCAGAGGGTTCCGTCAAGTCCGTGTTCTCCCAAGGACAAACAGATTCCTGCTCCTGACTCAGTTTTGCCTCCCATTTTGATATGTCTTCTCCCAGGGAGATAAGTCTCCCTTTTTCTAGAGCTTTCTTCTGCCCTGCTGATTCACTCCCCATCTCCTGCTCCAATCCCTTCTCAGTCACTCCTTCATTCACTTCCCAAGGACAGACCTCAGCCTTTTCAGTGGTAGGCACTTCCTCTACTTCCCAAGGACATACTTCAGCTGGCCTGCAGCCCACGCTGTCCAGGTCCTGGGGTCCAGCCTTCACTGCATCCGTGTTGAGAACACGTGCATGCTGAGAGGAGCCCCCTGGATCCAAACCTTCCCAAGGACAGGGCGCCTCCCGCTCTTGAGCTGGCCTCTCTGGCTTCTGTGGAGCAGCAACGGCTGCCTCAAGGCCACACTCTCCTGAAGCCTTTCCTTTGTCATTTGGAAATTTCCTAATGGCCTCAACTCCCAAAGGCCTTTCCTGTACTGCTCCAGCACTTACCTCCCAGGGACAGATACGTGCCTTCTCTGTAATCAGGGTTTCCTCTGCGTCCCACGGGCAGATCTCTGCAGTTTTGCTTCCCACGCTGCCTGACATCTGGAAACTGGTTTTGGGTTTATCTGTGTCTTGAGAGCCCGGCTGTCGGGGGAGACTGCTAGGGTCCACCTTCTCCCAGGGACACACTGCTTCCTGCTTTGGGATCTGCCCCTCAGGCTCCTCCCAAGCTGTGGCATCTGCTTCTGTGATTCCTGGTTGTCCAGACATTTTCTCCTGGTCCTTTTGAGATTCACTTCCTTTTGGAGCCTGTCCCGATGTCCAGTCCCCTTTTGTTCTTTCGTTTACCTCCCAGGGATAGGTTTCTGCTTCGGCAGGTGTTGCTTCCCTTACCTGTGGCTTGCTGTCTTCTCGTGGACATACCTGTGTCACTCTGCTTCCGTCCTTGTTTGGGGGCTGGCCTCCAGACTTGGACAAGGCATTGTCTACATACGGGCTGGAGTGCTCAGAGGCTGTGCTTTCCCAGGGACAGACCGCCTCCCGCAGCTGACTGACTTTCTGCACTGTCTTCACAGCTTGTTCCTCCATCTCTCCGGAACTTCCTTTGCTGGAAGCTTTTTCCTTTTCCTGGAGAGATTCTCCACCTGTCCCCTGACTCGCTGTTTCTTTCCCCACTCTCTCAGCGCCCAGCTCCCAGGAGCAGATCTCTGCTTTTTTGGGAGCAGGAACATCTCCTGCCTCCCATGGACACACCTCAGTGATGCCACTGCCCAAACTCCCTGAGCACTCCGGGATACCTGAGGCCTGGGTTGAGACCGCTGAGGGACCCCGAAAATCTGTACTCTCCCATGGACAGAGAGACTCCCAGTCTCCACCCAGTTTCTGTTCTTTCCAAAAGTTTCCTTTCTTGGGAGTTTTCAACTTTTCCTGGGGAAGCTCCTTCGCTACCTTCTGGCTTGGTTTCCCATTCTCTCCTCCTCCACTTGCCTCCCAGGGACAGACCTCTGCCTTGGCCATGTCAGCTTTACAAGCTTCTGGGCCAGTGGCTTCCCACCGGCACATGGCCACCTCCCTCGCCTCCCCACTGCCCACTGCCTCAGACCTGCCCTTGCTTCTATCAGTATTCTGAGGGGCTGACGGAGGGGACAGTCCTCCAGGATCGGTGCCTTCCCAGGGACACACTGCCTTCTGCCCCCTTACCAGCTTCTCTGGCTTTTTCCGAGCAGTGGCAACCACATCTTTCGGTGCTAGTTTTTCTGGGGCCTTCCCCATCTCTTCTTGGGGCCTATCTTCTAGATCCTGCCTCAGTGCTCCCCTCTCAAGGGTTCCTTCACTTACTTCCCAGGGGCAGATTTCAGCTTTGTTGCTACTGTCAAGTGGCCACATTTCTGACTTGGGTACTTCCCAGGGGCATACCTCTGCCACCCTGTGGGCACCACTGCCCAGGGGCTGGAGGCAAGCTTTAGGCCGTTCCTGCCACCCCCCAGCGACCTCTTTTGCTCGTTCAGCATTTTTGTCCCCATCTGTGCCCTGCCTGCCTTGTCTCAGTGTGGCAGGCCCCATTTTGCCTGCTTTCTCAGCTTTGCCCTCCACCAAGCCCTGGGATGCCCTCCTCCCTCTGTCTTGTTCTCTGCTGCCCTCCTGATGACACACCTGGAGCATTCTGCTGGTATGAGCATTCTGTTGGTTCTGGAGGGACTCCTCGTCATCACAGGGGGCAAGGGCAGCCTGTTTACTCACTGCCTTGGGGCGGCCCACCCTGGGAGATCTGGGGGCTGCCTCCTTACTCTCTCCTGAAACTCTGCTCTTCTCCCCTCTCTCAGTACTCTCTTCACCACTCTCCTTCTCTCGGTATGTGCTCCGAGAACGGGTCAGAGCTTTGATAGCCAGTCCCAGACTGCGCATGGAACCCTGCTGACTGGGGGCCTTGAGGCTGTGAGATTTAGGGAAGATCTTGGGCCTGTCCTCGTCCTTGCCTTCAGCTTCCCCTTGGAGATCTCCATCTTCTGTGTCCATTTCATTCTCCCCAGTCCCCCTTTTTTCTACTGCAACCGAGAGGGTCCTCCAGATCCTGGTTTGAGCAGGGGCCGGGGAGTGGTTGCCTCGCTCTGGCCCTGAGGGGCCTTCTTGGGCTGCATTTTCTTTTCTGACTGGTAATTCTGCATTCTCCCAGGGGCAGATGAAGGTAAGCAAGCTGGGGCTTTGAGAGGATGCTGGGGCAGGAGCTAGGGCAGGAGCTGGTGCCACGGCTGGAGCTGGCATCAGAGCTGGAGCCAAGATGCAAGTGGGCGACAGCAATCTTGGCTCTCCTAGGTAGGCCCCAGACAGGGTCAAGATGGGTGTGGAGACCTGGTGCCTGATGGGTGGGTGAGGCAGTCGTTTCCCAGCCTCCTCATGAAGCTGCTTAGAGGCATGGGAGCTGTCCAGGCTGCTGCTCTTGGCCGGGGACGGTGGGGCCGACAGCGGGGAGCCCCGAGCTCGCTCTAGCTTCCTGGCTGATGGCCTCCGCACTGGACTCACCACGGCCGCCTCTGCCTTCTTTCGCTCCTCTCGCTCTTTCGCCTGCCGATAGGTCTCCTCCAGGTAGGCCTGACTGGCCAGGAGCAGGGCCTTTTCCCTGGAGCCAGCCGCGACACTGAGTGACTTATGCAGGGAAGCAGGGCGTGCTCTGGGAAGTCTCTCTCCCACCGTCAGGTTGTGGGCGCTGGCAGACCTGAAGCCGAGGACAGGGGGTCCCTCCACCGAATCCCGGCTCTCACCCCTTGAGGCCTTCTTGGCCAGCTTCCTCTTCAGCAGTGAGTCAAGGAGAGGCGGCTCCTGCTCCCTGCAGTGGTCGTAGCTGCTGCGGGACTTGCGCAGGGCCGGTGGTCCCTCGGGTTCCTGGAGGCTGGAGCTGAGAAGCCTGCGGCGGGAGGAGCCAGGCAGGCTGCTGCGGCCCACGGAGCCCGAGTCCCGAGAGTGCTGCCGCACCAGGGCCTCGGGGAACTCGGCCAGATACCTCATGAAGGAGCGCCCCAGCCCCTGGCGCGAGCTGCCCCGCTTCTTGGGCAGGTGGGGGTTGTTGGCAGCCATTTCCTTGGTCTTGTGGACCTCTAGCTGCGCATAAAGCTTCTTTAGCTCATCCTGAGGGGAGGGATGAGGAGAGCAGAGCTGAGCTGATGTTGAGGCACTAAGGGTCACCTCTCCCCATCCCCTGCCTGTGCTGCTCTTCTCCTCTTTGAAAGAGCTCTTTTTCACCAAGGTGTGTCCCTTCCCTGCTTCTAAAACACTCTCAGAACTCATCTTATTGTTCCTCTAGGCCAGCGCCAATCTGATGCTGAGGGCTTTCTCCAGCCCTGAGTCCAGCTCTGAGGACTCAGCATTCACTCCCTTTCCTGGGGGCACTGTGGTTGTAAATCACAAACTTGGAGGCCAGGAAAACTGGATTCTAGAGTGCTGGCCCACCACGTGACTCAAGCCAATTTTTTTTACCTCTCTGAGCCTCTGTTTCTAGAAAATACTGATAGGAAATTACGGAACTAGGGCTCATGTAAAGTGCCATATTGAGGTGGGAGCAATGGAATGGGGCTTTGAAGGGTCAACCCAGGGGGAGCACATTGACTGGCTGCCTCTCCAGAAAGTAGAGGTCCCAGGGTGCTTGGTGGTGTGCGGGGCAGTGGGCCCCACACTCCCTGGCCTCCTTGCTGGGTTGGAGTCTATACCCAGAGGGTAGAAGGGCAGAAGGAACTATGAAATGTGGGGGCCCATCAGTTGCAAGGCTGTAAATAAGACAGGTGTGGAGGTGGAGAGGGTGGACAAAATGGCTTCATGAGATTGTCCCCACACCCTGAAGTCTTATAAAACAATGGGCTTAGATCTCCAGGTCTCCTCATTTTCTGCCCACTGAGGCTCTCATCAGGGTCCCTGTGATGCTAATGATCCTCTTGATCAGGGCAATAAGAGGGTGCTTTTTGGTGTAAGACCCAAGTAGAACTTCCTTTCTCTAAGACCTGCTAGGTCCAAGGGAAGGGAATCCTGGAGTGGAAATCCCCAGTGATCACTTACTGCCTGAACCACCCCAGCCCCACTGCCGGCCCCAGGTTGACCACCTGTCCTGATTTGCTGGTGACTGAGGGGATTCCTGCCATACCCCTGAGGGATGTGGAGGACACGAGGGATCAGGGCACCACTCATGGCTCTGCCTGTAATTTGCTGTGTGGCCTAGGCCTCAGGGCTCTGGAACTGTGGGGTCTTTGCACGTGGATGGTGCTTGTAGCCTCCTTGGAACCAAGAAGCAGTTTAGGGGATGGGTGGAAAAGCAAGGCAAACAGTTCTTGGAGAGAGGGAAAGCTAGGGAAAAAAGAGGGGCTGTAGCACATAGCCAGGTCGCAGGACAACAGCGCTCCCCCTGCTAGTCCAAAAAGCCAGCACCCAAAGGAGGCTGGGAGGGTGGCACGCACCCGAATGTCACCAGGGTCCAAGCTGCGCTCACTCCAGGCTGAAGCAGTGCTGCTGTCGAGGTAGGAGCCTGAGCGCTGCAGGTCCAGCTCATCCTCGTACACCTCCTCTACGATCTCTTCCCGAGATGGGGCCCCTGGCTTTCGGAACTGGTCAGGGAGGGGCGTGAAGGGGAGAAGACTGAGCTTGGCTCCCTGTCCACTCCTACTCCCGCCTGTCCTATGGAATAAGTGACCGCTTCCCTCCTCCCCTGTAGCTCAGAGACCAGGGATGGTTCTAAGCCCCAAGCCCCTGTAATTCCTAGCCATGCCCTTCATTTCCCCCCACCTCTCTTTCCATAAGGCACTGCTTCCAGATAGATTCTCAGAGTCTGCCAACCTTTCAGCTGCCTCAGAGGACCCCTTCCAGTCTTAGCTCATTGCCTTTCTCTTGCCCAGGAACTGGAAACAGAAGGAAACAGCAGCTTTCTCCTCTCCCACTCCTCCCCAGAGTCTGCTCCTTGTTCTGACCCTCTCACACATGCACACCCTCTGCCCCACACCTTCTGTCACCCTCACCCTGACCTGGGTGGTGTTGCGGCAATAGCAGCAGATCCATGGTAGTTGGTCCCACTCTATGTGTGTGTATGTGAGTATGTCCCCTCACAACTCACGTCATATCCAGGAGGGGGAAGAACTCACCTTGGGGATAAAGATCAGAGCTAGGGTGGCGGTGACTGTGCTGTGGGTGTGGAAAAAGAAGAGGAGGAGGGTCCAGTCCGGGTGCAGGGAGGGAACCAGCACAAACCTGGGGGCAAGGTGGAGAAGTTAGCTGCGTGTAGGAGTGGCCTCTTCCCCCTCAGCTACCCAGCTGCCCTTCTCCCCAGCCCCAATCCTGAGTGTCTATAGAGGTGCTGGGTGGAGTAAGCCAGGCACCCTTCCTTCTCCTTGCTCTCCAGGCTACTCCCACTGGCCTTGGGCTGCCCACAGTACACAGTTGTGCTCCACAGTTCTGTTAAGGACCACCTGGTGGGTTGATTCTGCCTCCACAACAGGGCTAAGTTCTTAGGGACGTGCTGGTGTTCGTATGCCTGATGTTCAAGGGAGAAGAAGGCAGGAAGAATTAAACATTGGGGGTAGGGACATGATGGGGTGCTAGAGAGGTGGCATTAGGAATGGGAAATAAATTAGGGGTAGGAGGTCCTTCCATTCCTTGGATGATGGGCCTCCTCACCTGGATGAGGCTTGGGATGCAAGTGGGGATCTGTGAGGTGGGGGGAGAGCTATAGGTGAGAGGCCTTCCACACCTTGCTGAAGCCCCTCGGTGTTGGAAGAATGGCCATGGGATGGGAGTTCCTTCACCCAGGTGGGTGAGGAACAGTGTTGGGGTGGAGGGGCCATAGGTAGGTCTGCCCTCACCTGGCTGCATGGAAGGCAGCAGAGAGCAGCAGCTCGTTGTGCAGGGCGATGCCCATGTAGCGTGGCTCATGGAAGGCCGAGGGCACGGCCCTGGTGGCATAGCAGAGGAAGCTGCCCCAGCACAGAAGCAGCATCTCAGCTGTGGGAGGTGGGGAGCGAGAGTGTCGGCACTACCTCAGCGGACATGCTGCCCATTTCCCTGTCAGGCATGCTGAGGAGGGCCAAGAGCCAGGAATCTGGGTACAGGCAGGAGGCCCAGGACAGGCGGACCCCCAGAGGTACATTGCCGGGACAGGTTGAGGCTGGGCTCAGCAGAAGCAGCTCACCCACAACCATGAGGTAGTCCCAGCGGTCATGGTGACAGAGATAGAAGTGGCGGCCTGTGGGAGTGTGGCCTTGGGTCACCAGAGGTGTGTGTTGGATGCCTTGCTCCAGGACTCCAGCCGTCCACACCACCAGGAACCCCAGCACAAGCAGCAGGAACAGCCCCAGGCGCCGTAGCAGCCGCCCACTGCTGAGGTGGGGACCCCGCTGGGCCGTTCGAGACAGAAACAGCTGGAGCACTCTACAAGGGTTAGAGAATGGTGGAAATGGGGGGGAGATCTCTGTCCGTTGCTTCCTCCCCTTCACACACCTTCCATGCCACACTGCCTCTCTTCCCGAAAAATTACATGGAGAAGAGGGCTATTGTGATGGGTTCACAGGTGATGGGGGCTGGCAAGGGTCTAGTTTTAAGGAACCTCATTCCATGAATGAGCAGGGGTGGCCTAGGGTGAGTAGCATGACAGCAAAATCCACCCCAGGCCTTACCTATAGAGCTTGAGTATAATGGTGCCGTAGACCATGACAAAACCCAGCAGCCGGACCCAGCGGAGAGCAATGCAGCGGAATACACTGGGCTTGAAGTACAAGATGAAGACCTGAGAGGCGGGGGGTGGCCAAAATAGCTGCTCTTCATCGTGCTCCAACTATGTGCTTGGCCTTATACTAAGCACATTGTTGGTAATCCTCCCAGCAGCAGTGGAAACATCACTATCTCCATTCTGCAGAGGAGCAGCTTAAGTATCGGAGAGGTTAGGTCACTTGTCTGTGTCACACAGCAGGACATAGAGCTGTTTTAAATCTGAGCTATTTGACTCCATAGCTCACTAGACCAGCCTGCCTTTGGTGGGTATGAATAGGGGGAATTCAAGGACTTTGAATCCCTGCAAGAGGGCAGAGAGGAGGAGGTGTTCCGAGGGTTTGCAGAGTGTCAGGTTGGGATTTTCTGGGGTCTTAGAAGGTGGGCCCAGCCTCTAGCCACAGACTCACAGGGAAGTAGAGCAGCAGGGATCCAAAAAGGATGGTTTCCAGCAGGATAACCCCAGATGCCCGGATCCTCTGTGAACCCAGAAAAAGAGAGGCAGATGAGTCTGGACTAGGGTGCAGTGCAGGAGGGTCTCGGGCCTGTTTAAGGTGTACTTGGTGGCCTCGGGCTAAAGCTTCACCCTGAAACAGCCCCGCCCTCTCTCCAGAGCTATATGCCATTCCTGCCTCAAGGCTCTTAAGGACCCTCTGAGACTACTCCTATGGTCTCAGCCAAGGTTTCACAGAGCCTTTTATCATCCCACCCCAGGCCAATCTACTCTGGGCCTTGTTACAGTCCCAGGCTCAAATCAGAGGTTGTAGGAGCTAAAAAAACGGTTTCATGCGCCTCAAGCTTTGGGTTAGACTGCTCCTTTGTCTAGAATACGATATCCCTTCTCTGCCTGATAAGCACCCAGAAAGCCAAGCCTAGCTCGAATGGTATGTTCTCCAGAAAGTCTTTCCCACCCCATCAGAATGCCTGGGTCCCTTCTCTGACACCCACCTCCACCTCAGCCCTTGTCTCACGGTACCATCATTTTATTACATTCTGTTTTTCCCACCCATTTGAGAGCTCCACGGAGACCAAGATCTCTTCCCCAAGTGGCTAGGCAATGTTTAGCAGTAGATGTTCAACAAGGATTGTTGAATCAAGGCCAGAGCCTTCATGTTACAGATGAGGAAACAGGTGAGTTCAACTTTGAATCCAGACCAAAACCCATTCCTCCTGAGTTCTAATTTTAGGTAGTTAATACCAGGGAGCCGAGATGGACAGGGCATGTGTACAGGAGAGATGTGGGGCCTTCCTTGCCTTGCTCTGGCGGCAGCGGTAGGAGACCAGCATGCTCAGGAAGACGACCAGCATGCAGCAGGTCTGGCCGACCATCACTGTTGCCCTCAATGCCAGGGCCTCCTCCACCAGACATGGTGTGGCATCGATGCAGCTGGTACAGCCCTCAGGACAGGGTTGGCACTGCAGCAGCCTCCCAGAGCCGCCTTGCAGAGACCCGAATTGCCCAGTAGGCTGGCTGGTGCTCTCCTCTAACCCTGTAAAGAAAAAGATGAGTGCAGTGAGGTAGGTAAGCCTGTCCCCTTCCTGAGTCATCAGCCACCGCTTTCTATGGTCACATACTCCTCCTTGCCCTTCTAAGGCCTTTGGCCCCTGGGGTAGGGTCAGGAGGGGGAGCACTGAAGAAGTAAGTATTCCCAGGGAGGGCAGGGAAACAGGGAGAGGTGGTCCCAGACTAGGCTCATTGGGAGGTCAACTTGCATTAAATAGACAGGTTGTGGGCTCATTTGCAGAAGGCATAGACACCTCCAAACTGGACCCTGCCTGCCTCTCTTCCTCCCTACCTTCTGCTCTTGCACTACAATTTTCTTCCCAGTGTGTCCCCACCCCCAACCCTGCTTTTCTTCCCCAGATGTCCCTCAAGCCCAGCCTGTCAACCATCTGCCTGGCCCTCACCACAGGTACGTACCCCCAGAGTGGCTTGCCCCATAGAAGCCAGGCCGGCAGCGGCAGAGGTAGCGGCCAAGAACAAAGCCCTGACTCTCCAGAGGGACACACTGTGGGGACACAAACATGCTATGTATTTCTATGGGGCTTTCCCTGGAAGCCTGGAAGCTCTTTCCCTCCTGGGAAGAGAGGGAGGGTCCATCTGTCTTCCTATCTACAGCACCTGGGTCTACATTAGAGAATCCCACCCAAAGCCCACCTAGTGCTTGGGTGGCCTTTCCTCTATGGAAATCCACCTCCGTCTCCACAATTGTCTCTTTCTCAAAGAGATCCCAAGCAAAGAGGAAGGGGATGGATCACCCCTTTGTTTGGACTAGCAGTGACAGGAGCCTCACAGGTTCCATTTTCCAGTGCCCAGCTGTCGACAGGGCATGTTGCTGGAGGGAGGTGGAAGTCAGGGAGTCCAGGCACACCTCTTGCTTCAAAGGGTCACCCTCTTTGGCACATAGGTGAGTTGAAAGGGCCCCCAGGGAGGAGCAGCTTCCTCCATCAGGGGCCATCTGGCTTTGGCACAAGACGCTTTGCCCAGCCCTAATGCCAGGCTAATGCCAGGCTGGTGGGATGCCAGGGCCAGCTCTTTATTCTACCTCCGCCCATTGATGTTTGCCCAGCAGGGGATGGAGCAGACCTCAGAGCCAGGCCTGGAAGAAGAGCACACGAATGAGGTCATATCTGCTGTGGGCATAGTCAGGAACAGGCAGTAGTGCGGGCAAAGGGAGGGGATAATCTTGGGGTTTCCATATCCAGCCACTGACATCACTTGGAAGGTTAGAGTATTGGTGCTTATGAAGCTGTGGCCCAGCTTCCCCTCTTGCCTGGACCACTAACATGCTCTGTTCCTGCTATAGTCTGCATGATCAGACAAATGTGTACCCAGAGAAGTGAATGTGGCTAGGTTGAAAAGTGGCATGGACAGTGAGAGCCCTTCTTCATCCCTGGATTTACAGCTCCAAACACATGTGTTCTTTAGAGCAGCAGGGCCACCTGTACATAGAGCACAGTGATGCCCAAGCCACCCCACCACCCAGCAGGCTGCAAGGCTCAGCCAGTCCACTCAGGGCCATGCAGGTAGCCAATGCGAATATGGGCTGATGGGTGCCCTGGCCTCCCGGTTTCCCACTGCCAGGCTTGCAGAATCACCACCATTGTCCTCCACCAGCAGTGATTTACCCAACCTGTGGCTGTGGCTGCTGGCTTCTGACCTGGGTTCCTTTACCTTCCTTCACCAGCCCCAGAGCTCATCCAGCTCCTTCTTTGCCTGGATTCCTCCCATACCCCCAGCAGCAATTTCCTTTATTTTGACAAACTAGGGCTTTGACAAACACCAGTGGAGCATCCTTTGTAGGACAGATAGGAGCCCAGGGCTCTGTTGACATGGGGAATGGTGTCCAGGGGAAGGAAAAGGGATGATTACCTGAGATTCAGGAGGTGGCCCTGGGGAGGGATCCTGGCAGGAAAGCAGATAGGGAAGGACACTGAGATTTCCAAGGCATGGGCAGTGGCTGTGAGGAGGGGTGGGTTGCAACTCACTTTCTAAAATTCTGGTATCTCACCTCTGTCAATCCCTAGGACTCCCCTGAAGCTGCCTTAAAAGGCTGAGTTGGCTTTGTGAGCTTCTCCTGGGAGTGGGGTGGTGGCTGGCTGTGATGGGAAAGAGGGAGGGAGGCAGGCAAGATCCCAGTTCACCTCCCCTGATCCTCCTTGTCTTTACCTGGGTGCTGTTGAGATCACACAGGTGTGTGTTAGAGTACCAGCCTGGGCCACTGGCACACTGATTGATGTCCACGCTCTGAAGATCCACATCCATCTGCACCTGCCCCCTGGAGCAATGAATGCACCGTTAGGGAGAAGGAGGCGGACATTGTTTATGTCTACCAGACTGTGGAAGAACAGAAGCTTTGCAAACTTATCACAGTGGCTGCAGTGTGCTGGGGAGGGACACAGACACTTTCCACTTCTCCAGTGTTTTTAATGCTCACTGTCTGGGTGGGCAGTCATCCCTCTCCCCCTAGACTGCTTCCCATACTGCTCAGCTTTTCAACATTCTATCATTTCCTAGTTTCTATCAATGAGTGGAGGGAACATGTCAAGACACATGGGGAGGTGAAGCTCTGATAATCTATCTGAGGGGGATTTTGATACTTTTCCACTGCATGTACACACACACACACACACACAGAGTGCTTAGCTATTAACCACTCCCTCACTCTGCCCAACCCAGGTCTGAACTGATCATAGCAAAGAAGGTGTAGAATGGAAAAGCACAAAGGGGGAGCTATCTGGTCCAGTGGTTCCCCAACCCCTGCTCTAGACTAAGCTGGGAGAGAGCTGCAAAGAGTCAGGCTGCCTGCCAGGAGGAGGGGGACCCTGCTGAAGACAACGAATGGGAACACAACAGCTAGGAAAGCAGTGCTGATGGCTGAATGCCTTGCAGTACTGTACCCACCACCACCACCACACACACACACACACACACTTTATTCTGATTGAAGGAGGTCAGTTGTTCAAAGGCTATCAGGCTCCTGGGTCAAGATAAGCAGGGCAGTGGCCCCTCTTTGTGGTAGGAAGATGACCACTGAGAGGGACTCTGGGGACTTGACCAACTCCTGCCCAGGAATGGTGTTGATTCTAAGCGCCTGACCCCAAATTTTCCTTCCCCTGGTGAAGCCTCCTCTTAGAGTTCTAAGTTGTTAGAGAGCAGCAGGTTTAACTCCTGGAGCCACCTGGTTCCTCTAAGTCTGGTCCCTTGGTTGTCTCTGTCATCCACACCAAGCCCTCTCCTACCTCCTATACCCACTGCTCAGACCTGGAGTCCAAGACATATGCCACCTACACCCACACTTCAGTACACACTCATATGTACACACTCATATACACATAAGTGTATGTATATCTACATGTATATGCATGCTCATTCATATGCTCAAACACATAAATACAAATAGAGGCCCAAAGAAATACATATAAATACATATAAAAGGATTGATTCATATATAGTATGTACCCTCACACCTGTAGGTATTATACATAGTTATAGATTCCAGAACTGACTTCACTCACACACATCTGTGACCCCTAGACATATACATGTGAAGCCAAGTGGCCCATGGACAGTGTACTTGTGCCTACCCCCACAACACATATCTACAAAGGTATCAAATACCTGCATAAACCTACTTACCTGACTTCTGGGCTGAGGTCTGGCTTGAGTCCGTAGAAGGTGGCTGAGAGGGTGATAAGCCAGCCAGGACGGAGCCGGCCCTGCTGGCACTCCAGGAAGGGAGGAGATAGCCTTACGTGCTGCATGTCCCCCACATAGCCATCTCCCTGTGGCCATTTGGGGCTGCCAAGGCTCCCTAGGTCATTGGTCAGCACTCGCTTCTGTAGGTCACGGGTGTCCAGGTCCCCAGCCTGGCTCTCCCCCTGCATCCTGCTCCCAGACAAGTCCTGAAGGAGGGTCTCCTCCTGCATCCGGGTGGCCTGCAAGGCCAGCTGCAAGTGGTTGGCCCCTGGTGAGGGACTAAAGGTCAGCAAAGCCCGGTATGCCCTTGGGTCCCCCTCGGCCACACTGCGAACCAGTGCCTGGTACCACTCCACATCTTCCTCTACACTGGACTCGCGGATGTCGTTGGCTTGCAGCAGCATATTAAGGAAATTGGCAGCCTGGGCAACGGTGCCCGCTGCCCTCTGTAAGACTAGAGGGAGCCCTGTTCTGGCTCCTGCCCCATGGGCTTCATAGCGTTCACTGCAGTTAGCCCCCGACAGCTGCTGGGCATCTCCCGAGTAGAGAAAAGCCAGGGCTGCTTCTGCCCCCTCTGGGAGCACCCACATGGACACAGATCCTGGCTGGGCTTGGGAGGACAATGGGGGCAAAGAGCGGATAGGCCGCGGACCCCCCAGAGCCCAGCCACAAAGGAAGCAGCAGACCAGAAGCCCCCACACAGGAGGGGGCATGACCCCTGTCTTGGTGCCTATCCTGAGGCAGCTCTCAGAAACCCTGGGGCCCTGGCTGCCTGGAGGATTTGATGGCTCAGGAGAGGGCAGAGGCTGGCCCCTCGGGGAGCTGCCTGCCTCCACGCCTCCTAGCCTAGCTTTCCCTCTTGTCTCTCTCCAGCTCATGCGCTGCTCTCTCTCAATGCTCAAGTGCTGTCTCACTTGTTTTTTCTTTGCTCTAACGTCATCAACTGGCTTCTGGACGTAGGCCTGAGGGCGCTGCCCCCTCCTCTCTCAGTCTGGCCCCCCCATTTCAAGCCCTCTTAATCCAGGCAAATCACTCTCACCTCCCCTCTTTTATTAAGCATCCTGGCTCCCCCACCCCCTGCATCTGCTCCAGAGAGAGGGAAGAGGGGAGGAGAAGGGGCCAGGAGGGCTCTCTCCACCTTCCCCCCTCTGTCCTTTTCTCCATTAGGAGAGATGGGCAAATCCAGGATGGGGTGCCATAGCAACCGCAGATGAGCCCATGCCCCTCTTTCCACCCCTCTGCTTCACTCAGCTTCCTGGCAGCAGTTGCAACGGGCGGGCGTGATAAAAGGCCAAGCCGCATCTCCTGGCAATCCATTCTCGCTGCCTGCAGATGCAACACTGCTGCCTAACTGGAATTTAGGACGGGAAAATAAGGGTCTGAGAAAACCATAATCGACCTTTGCACAGACTGTGGCAGTTTATAAAATACTTTAAAAAAAAAAAAAAAAACAGTACTTTTGATGTGCATTATCTCAATAAATCTTCCCCACAATGATGTATGGTGAATACTGGTGTCATTCCCATATCACAGATGCAAGCACTGAGGCTCAGGGACTCACCCAAGATCAAACAGCTGCTCGCTTTTAGTTGAGGCTCAAACCCAGAGCCACAATGCACAGTCAAACCATCATTGTCAACTTGTTACATCAGGAACTATAACAAGGCCCCATTGAAACCAAAATCATTGCTGTTGAGTAAAATCTGACTCATGGTCACCCCATGTGTTACAGGGTAGAACTGCTCCATAAGGTTTTCTTGGCTGTAATCCGTACAGAAGCACGTTACTAGGCCTTTCTTCCATAGTGTTGCTGGGTGGGTTTGAACTGCCAACCTGTAAGTTAGTACTTACGTGCAAATGCAGGGACCTGATAAAACCTCATTAAACCCACTGCCATCAAGTTGATTCTGACTCACAGCGACCCCTATTGGGTTTCCAAGGCTATAAATCTTTACAGAAGTAGATTGCTTCATCTTCCTCCCATGGAGCAGCTGGTGGATTTGAACCACTGACCTTCTGGTTAACAGCCAAATGTCTTACCACTATGTCATCAGAGCCTCATTACAGAGCAGTAAGTTAAGGCCCAGAGAGACAAAGAGATTTCCACAGGACAGTGTTGTTCGTGACAGAGCTAGAGCCTTTCACCCAGGCCTTTCTTCTGCACCACAGGGTTAACAACCACATGAGCAGTACAGTGATGAGTCGGGGTGTTAGGCAGCAGGGACAAGAACTTGGGAGAGGAGATGTACAAACCTTGGCCTCTGGTGCAGCTTCTACCTTCCTTTCATCATCACAAACCCTGTTTTCTTTCCTTCATGAAAACCTGGCTAGCTTTTCTTGCTCTTCCTAGCTTTGCCCACTAGCCTCCCCTCCGTTGTGCAAAGTAACTGAGGCTCAGAGTCAGCACTGTCTGAGGCAGCTTCCTGAGATCTGGAAGGGTCTGGATTCTTGAAGGTAACCACCACCTAACACAGCCCCTGCCTTCCTCCCTCCCTCTTCCATCATTTCCCATCATGCATGCTCCCCCTTGCTCAGGTGACCCAGCCCTGCGTCTGCCTTTTCCTTTGACAGAACCTCTTTCTGCATGCTGTCTCTTTGGCTTCTTCTCTTCTACTCCCCCCACCCCACCTTAAACCTTCAATGTGCAGGTCATTGAGTGCCTGTAAGAAGGAATGGGTGGTGGTTGCTAAAAATGTCTCCTGCTTTACAGATGGCTTCTGCAAACAAATCCTAAGTGTGAGTGTAAGGGCTCGGGAGGGGGTAGGGAGAAGATGGTTAGGATTAAAGCTCAAGCCTCCAGGAGAATCCCAGTGCAGAACTGGAAAGGCCCATAATCTAGACCTTTCTCTTATACAAAAAGTAACTAGAACCCTGAGAGGAAAATGACATTTCCTAGGCCACAAAGCCAGTTAGGGGCACAGCTGGGATCAGAAACCCACCTCTTACATCCATAGATCTTCCCTTGACGTCTCAGATTCTGTGTGCTGACAGAGACAGGGATGACGAGGATTCAATGACCCATTCTACTTTCTTAGTATTATCAGTCACTGGTAGTTGAGGGCCAACAAAACACACTGGGTGAAGGCATAATAATGTAAGTTAATACAATTTTTTTCTCCCCAGAAGCTTTTCAAAGTACAATGAAATCTGTGAAAGCCAGAACTGGACGGGACTGACATGTTTTTCTGGTTCTTGCAAATTTCCTGCTTTTACTAGAGTGCAGTCTTATCACTTTTCTATCACTCATTTTAATGGAAAATATTTTATTTTTCCTTCTCTGACAGGTTTCTGCCTTACACAGGTCCCAGCTTTCATAGGTTTTACTGTAATAATTAATGTTTGTAGAGTGCTCTAGCATTTACTAAGCAACTTTACATATAATTTTTCATTTAATCCCAATAGCCCTGTAAGGGGCTATTACTGAGTCGTTTTTACAAATGATTCAAAGATTCAAAAATGTTGAATTATTTGTTCTTGGTCATATATCAGGAAATGCCATGATTAGGACTCTAACTAGATAGCTAGCTCCAGAGGGTAGGGGCAGTGCCCATGTCATTTTTCAAAAAAAAAAATTTATAGTGATTTGGGTGAAAGTTTATAGAGCAAATTCATTTTCCATACAGCAGTTCATACACATTTTGTCTCATGACATTGACTGCAATTTCCCACAATGTAACAGCTCTCTTCCCACTTCCTCCCCATAGTTACCTCTTCCCTGTTTATCTCCCTCCCACACACTCCTGACCCCTGAGCTGTCTCCCTGTGCAAACACTGCCCTTCTGTTCTCCACCATTGATCACCCCAAGGAGTGTATCTACCTGATATAAATGTTCACCCCATATGCCTGTCTATTGTTTGGCTGGAAGCCACAGAGTGAGTTCAATTCCAGACCTTAAGGGTGGCTAGGGACCATAGTCTCAGGGGTCTCACCAGGCTATGTCAGACCAGCAAACCTGGTCTTTTTTTTTTTTTTTT